TCCCGACGTGGGGGTGACGCGGTGTCCCCGCAGCGTGGACGGCGAAGCCCCGGGCAGCGAGGGGGGGGGCCCGGTGCCCGACAGCCCCGGGAGACCCCCCCCGTACCGGGGCCTCCCCCAGCCCGCGCCCCAAGGCCCGGGGGGCGCGGGGGGCGGCCCCGGGGGGGGCTCCCCGGGCGTGGGCTGGCCCCGGCTGCCCCCCCAGCCCGCCAGCGTGGCCCTGCGCAAGCAGGAGGAGGAGGAGGAGAGCAAGAGGCCGAAGGCTCTGAGCGACAGCTACGAGCTCTCCACCGACCTGCAGGACAAGAAGGTAGCTGGGGACACCTGGGGACACGTGGGGACAGCCCTGGGGACACCCCCGGGATGGGTCCTGCTTGTGTGATGGTCACAGCCCACGTGTGGTGGTCACCTGCCACGTGTGACAGTCCCCAGCCTGCGTCACCAGACCCGTGGCATGGTCCCTGTCCCCATACAATGGTCCCTGTCCCCATGTCACAGTCCCTGTCCCCATATAATGGTCCCTACCCCCGGGATGGGTCCTGCTTGTGTGATGGTCACAGCCCACGTGTGGTGGTCACCTGCCACGTGTGACAGTCCCCAGCCTGCGTCACCAGACCCGTGGCATGGTCCCTGTCCCCAAAAAATGGTCCCTGTCCCCATGTCACAGTCCCTGTCCCCATGCAATGGTTCCTGTCCCCATGCAATGGTTCCTGTCCCCCTGTCACGGTCCCTGTCTCCATGAGGCCACCGTGTCCCCTCTCTCTGCTGCCAGCCCTCCTTCCCTGGCTGTTGTCTCACCTGTGTCCTTCTCTTGCCCTGTCCCCTCCCTGTCCCCATGGCCACATGTCCTTATCCATGTTTTGATGTCCTCATCCATGTCCCCGTGTCCCCATCTGTGTCCCCATGTCCCCATCCCCATCCCTGTCCCCATCCCCATCCATGTCCCCATCCCCACCCCTGTCCCCATGTCCCCATCCTCATCCATGTCCCCATGTCCCACATTTCCATGTCCCCATTCACATCCCCATGCCTACATGTCCCCACCCATGTCCCCATCCATGTCCCCACGTCCCCACCCGTGTTCTCATCCCCATCCCTGTCCGCATGTCCCCATCTGTGTCCCCATGTCCCCATCCTCATCCATGTCCTCATGTCCCCACGCGTGTCCCTGTCCCCATGTCCCCATGTGTGTCCCCATATTCCTATCCTCACCCACGTCCCCACATCCCCACATCCCCTGCCACGTCCCCACGTCCCCACACATGTCCCCATGTCCCCATGTCCTCTGCCATGTCCCTATGTCCCCACATCCCCATGTCCCCTGCCATGTCCCCACATCCCCTGCCATGTCTCCATGTCCCCATCCTTGTCCCCACACGTGTCCCCATGCCCACATCCTCATCCATGTCCCCGTGTCCCCTGCCATGTCCCCACGTCCCCCTGTCCTCTGCCATGTCCCCATGTCCTCCCATCCCCACATCCCCTGCCATGTCCCGATGCCCCCATGCGTGTCCCCATGCCCACATCCTCATCCATGTCCCCACGTCCCTATGTCCCTACCCACTTCCCTATGTCACCATGTCCCCTGCCATGTCCCCATGTCCCCATCCCTGTCCCCATGTCCACACATCCCACCCATGTCCTCATGTCCCTATGTCCCCACCTCCCCTGCCATATCCTCATGTCCCCACCCATGTCCGCACATCCCCTGCCATGTCTCCTCGTCCCCACATCCCCATGTCCCCTGCCGTATTCCCACGTCCCCACATCCCCCACCATGTCCCCATGTCCCCATCCTTGTCCCCACACGTGTCCCCATGCCCACATCCTCATCCATGTCCACATGTCCCCACGGCCCCTGCCATGTCCCTATGTCCCCTGTCACGTCCCCACATCCCCACATCCCCTGCCATGTCCCCACATCCCCCACCATGTCCCCACATCCCCTGCCATGTCCCCACACGTGTCCCCATGCCCACATCCTCATCTATGTCCCCACGTCCCCACATCCCCTTCGATGTCCCCATGTCGCCATGCATGTCCCCATGTTCCTATCCTCACCCACGTCCCCACGTCCCCATGTCCCCATGCGTGTCCCCATGTTCCTATCCTCACCCACGTCCCCGTGTCCCCACGCGTGTCCCCGCAGGTGGAGATGCTGGAGCGCAAGTACGGCGGCTATTTCCGCTCGCGGCGCGCGGCGCGCACCATCCAGGCGGCGTTCCGGCGCTACCGCATGGCGCAGAAGTTCGAGCGGCTGCGCAGCGAGGGCGGCCGGGCGCGACGCCTGGCGCTGCCGGGGCTGCGCCTCCAGTTCTCCTTCGAGGAGTACGACCGCGGACCCCCGGCCCCCGCCCCCGGGCCGCCCCC